TCTCTCTCTCTCTCTCTCTCTCTCTCTCTCTCTCTCTCTCTCTTAAGTACCTTCTAAGCTCTTGAATCCTGATACTTAGTACTCGTGGCTGGATTTGAAGAACTCCATCTAGGATACCAGTATGGTAGTACATACCTTTAATCCCAGCACTTGGGAGACAGAGATTGGCATATCTCTGTGAGTTCAAGGCAAGCCTGGTCTACATAGTGAGTTCCAGGAGTTACCCCAGGGAGGGAGGGAGAGAGAGAGAGAGAGAGAGAGAGAGAGAGAGAGAGAGAGAGAGGCTTCTTATTCTAAAAAGTTAGCCAGCAATGGCCTGCAGATTAGGTCTGGCCTGTCACTAGGGAGGTGGCAAGCTGCTCATGGCATTTGCTTGTGTGAACTTGTATCCTCTAGTCAAGCAGAATTGCACCATAGATGGGCCTTTCTACTTACATACTATCTGAGGTTATATTTTTGTTACAACGGCAACGTTGAAGGTCCAATATGGCCAGACCTAAGACTCTGTGACCTACTAGAGAGAAGATGGCCAAGCCTTGCTGTTCCTGTTCCGGCTGTTGAACATCAGCACAACTCTCGGCTTTGGTGGTTCAGCCTTCTTATTCAAATGTCTATGGGCTTGAGTGGGAAGGTTCACACTTTACACTTTTTTTTTTTTAAACAATGGGCTTTGAAGACCTTTGCTTTGGGAATTAAAAAAAAAAATCAGTATATTCTTGTGTCCCTGTAGGCCAGAGGAAAAGTCCTGGGTCTTATTCTGTATTCATTCCCACAACTAATGTCTGCTTGTATCATTGGGAAGTCTGCCAGTTGCCCAAGTGGTCTGGATTTGCATTAGCCAAGGTGTTTTCTTTCTATGAGCCCCACAAGTAGGGTGATGGTACGGTTTGAATGTATCCCTCTGAATTTGTGTGTTAGAAACTTGATCCTCACATCCGTATGGTGATAGGAGCAGAGGTGGAGCTTAGAGAAGGTAATTGTGATTGGATGAGGTTCTGAGGATGGGGCCACCATGTTACTAGTGATTTCATAAAAAGAGAAATAGAGACATGGGTTAGCCTGTGCTATCTAGTACTTCAAAGACCCTCCCACCCCTTCCATGTTTTGATGGACTAGAAGGCCCTCACCGGTGCTGGTGCCTTGGTCTTGGACCTTCCTCTGTTCCAGGACCTGATTAAACATCTGTGATTGAGCCTGCAGTATTTAGTTATAGCAACAGAAAATGGACTAAGACAGTAAGTGACTTAAAAAAGAAATTATCGGTTGGCCTCATAAACAAAGCAGGGAAGCAGGCTTATGTAGGCTTTCCTTCCAGGGTTTCTTGATTGACTTCATCCATGTTCCAGGCCAGTCTGTGAGGCCCAGGGTAAGGGGAGATTTCTTTGTTTCCACAGAAAGTAACTCTTTAAAGACCCCAAGGAAAGACAACAGTCTTCCCACCGCACTTTGGTATTTACCAGTCAGTAAAACGGCCCAGATGGTGCGCCGGAGAACGACTCTGTGTTTTCTACAAAACTCACAAATTGTATCATACTTCCTTTCCAAGAACCTGAAACATAAAAAGTAAACAGGTCACAGAGGTGAATACCCCAACATGAAGTATCAGGCATGTGAAGCCTAGGTCTGGCCATGTGAAGCAGGAACAAACAGGCTTCTGGAGCCATGTTCCAAAGCAGAAATGGGATGTTCATTGTAGCCGGACACTGGCCATAACTTGGATTGGCTTCCGAATGAGTGTGCCAAGCTCTGAGGGGGAGAACTAACTAACCAATAAACCACAGGGAGGGTAGGGCTTCTGCATGGAAGGCCTCAGAGTGTATCACATATCCAATACATTGTTCCCACGGGAGTCATTCACGGCTAAGAGGATGTGTAACAATGTGTGCTGAGAATCTGAAACACTATCCTAGGAGAGACTAGGAAAATCAGAGTGTGGTAAAGACTAAGTTTCTTGGGGTCTAATTCAGGAAAAGAAAAACCAATGACGCATTATCCTCAGCTGAGGAGACACTGTTTTGGTTTGTTTTGAAAGCAGCCATGGTAAAGAGCCACTGTTAATAGACCTTCGTCTGCTGTGCACTGGTTCTTCAGCTCTTATAGTAGCAGAGAAAATATGTAACTCATTGTAGCAATCTGGCCTATGAAGCAAAGTCACTGCATAGACTTGCTTAGTTTTGTTATCTGGGCTGAACAAACTCAACCCAATGGTGTTTGCTTCAGTGCGGTGACCATTAGTGAAACCTCGGGACACATGATGCTCCAGAGACCTTCTCAGCCCTGAGCCAGAGCCTCATAAAGTAAATAAAGGATGGATCCTGGCAAATGTTTGTGAGGTATTCACATGTCAAGACCTCTCAGGCCCAGTTCTGATTTTTGAGAGACATGATTCTGATGCCGAAGAGTAAAAGCTCTTCAGGGATCGGGCATGCTCAGTGAGGGGTGCACACCATTCCTGAAGAAGACCTGGGTGTGCTTCCTGGCACCCACATAGTGGCTCATAATCATCTACAGCTAGTTCCAGGGGATCTGATGGCCTCTTCTGGCCTCCACTGGCACCAGGCAGATACATGGTACACAGACATGCATGCAGGTAAAACACACATACACTTAAAAAAAACCAACAAAGATAAATCTTTAAAAAGTTCTTTAGAGATATAGAAATGTAAGTAAAAATTTACATAGGAATTTAGAAAATGGACATGTATATTATGATACAATATCTGAGCGAAATTCCGGGCTCTTCACTCTCAAGTAGACTGTCCTTCATTTTATCAACCCCAAATCAAGATAGTAATATTGCTTCAACCGGGTATGAGGGCTCACCCTTATAGCCCCAGCATTTTAGAGCAGGCAAGAGGATGGTAAAGGCAAGTTCAAAGTCAGCCTGGGCTAGATAGCAGACCCTGCCAAACACACACCTGCTGGCTCTCCTGTCCTAGCGACTGTAAAAACATGGAATAACTCAAGGCCATAAGATAATAAAGGCAACAGTTTATAAAATTTTTATCACGCGTCCTTATTTTGTATGTATATGTGTTCACATATACTTGAAAGCCAAGTGCCTTTACTGTCTGAGCCATCTCCCTGGGCCAGTTTTCTGAGCTTTAATGTGGGTTTTGAGAAATCAATTGCTATTGATAAATATGGGGAAGATAAATTGACTCCTTATGTATGGATTGGAGCCCTTAGTAGGTAATTTATACCTTTAATGAGAAGACTGTCCTGGGTGAATGTAAAAATAAATTCAAGGTTCTGAGCGCAACATCGCTTCAAACTGACCACACCCATCACCCTAAAAGGCCACTGCTTTTTCCAAGTGGTGTTGGGTGGGTGGGTGGCACTGGGGGTGTGTGTGACAGTTTCTAATTAGGCATAGTAAAATTTAGGAACAGAAGAGAATAAAACAAAAAGACACAACACGGGTTAGACCACACACGGGGTAGATGAGGCTGTGTCGCTGGCGTAAGAACTGTACCCTTTCTGACGCTCATCTTCGCTGTCATCCTCCATGTCTTCTTTGTTTCCGGGAGGCTCCTGCTCAATCGTGATCTGCCTGTCGTCCTGGAGAGTAAACATTGGAGCAAAGACAATAATGAGAACCTGGGTGTTAGGAACTCTGGATTCAGGCAAGGAATATTTAACACTCCCTCTCTTAAATTATTATGCAAGAAACAGCTCCCTTTTTCTACTGCATGGACAGGTTTTTTTTTTTTTCCATTTATAATTACAAGAGATTTGGGGCCACACTTATGTTCTTTCTTTCCAGAGAAGCTTAGGCAGTCTGGATCGCCCCCTTTTGGCATTTTTTTTTTTTTGAAAAGGGAATGTGTTTGCATTTCTGATTCTTTGTTCCAGTATCTGCTGCCATCAATCAACACCAGATACCAGCTCTGCTTTTTGGGGGGAAGGGCTAAACAAAATTCACAATGAGGGCTATATAATTTCCCCTTTACACTGAGCCAGCCCATTTCCAGAGTCTGAGACCCAACTGAGGCTTGGCCTGCAGGTATGAACACCTGCCTCATCCTTCGAGAGCTGACAGACTCCCCTGGGACTCACATTCTTTTAACTGGGAGCCTTACTCTTGCCCCGATGACTTAAGTGCCTGCATTAAGAGTCACTTCTCATGGACAATTTTCTCTGGGACCAGTATGAGCTCTCTCCAAACATCCATGACCTATCCTGTTTCCAGACTAGCCCCCTCTCTCAATCCCACAATTCTTCAGCTGGTAAAGTTACCATCATACGTAACTGGGGCGTGTTCAGGTGCACATTGGCTCTGAACTCTCCTGGAGCTGGGCTTATGTTCTCCGCTGTATACAGAATGACCCTTGATCCTCTGCACTTAAAACGTCTGACCCCAAAAGATACCAAAGATGCGTGATCACATAGCACGTCAAAGACAGACACTATTCTTTCTGCCTTTGGTCACCTGTGCTTTCTACAGTGATCCTCAAGAGCTAGGAAAACATGAACCATAGTAAAGAGGCTGAGTCCAAGGTCTAGACACCACAGTCAGGGGCAGAGGAGGGTCTGCCACTTATGTCTTTTTTTAAAAACAGATTTACTTATTTTCATTTTATGTGTATAAATGCTTTGCCTGCATGTGTCTGTACCATGTGCATGCAGTGCCCACAGGAGCCAAAAGCAGGCATCAGAGCCCATGGAGCCCAGTTATACATGGTTGTGAGCTGTCGTGTGGGCTCTGGGATTGGCAAGATAGTCAAGAGGAGCAGCCAGTGTTCCTAACTGCTGAGCCGCTCATCTCTCTCTCTCCAGCTCCTTGTCCATTTCTCTCTACTTGACATATAGCTTGGCCAGCAATTTGGTAAATATTTGATTTAAATGATTGTGATATTCTGTTCACAATGTGTCCCAAGCTACCTGTCACCTATGGGATGCTTCTGTTTCTTTCTTTCTCTTTTCTTCTTTTTTTTCTTTTTTTTTTTTTTTAGATTTATTTATTTATTATGTATACATCGTTCTGCTTGCATATACGCCTGCAGCCCAGAAGAGGGCACCAGATCCCATTACAGATGGTTATGAGCCACCATGTGGTTGCTGGGAATTGAACTCAGGACCTCTGGATGAGCAGTCAGCACTCTTAACCTCTGAGCCATCTCTCCAGCCCTGTTTAATTCCTTCTTATCTTTTAAAGTGGATACCCAAATCTCCCTCAACCCCGTTATCATGGGCGATGTTCCATTTCTCGGTCAGTACGGGACTCTGTACACTTCCGTGTGTGCCACTGATGCTCACAACCACTCCCTGCTCAGCTCCCTGCTCAGGCCTCTGTGTGCATGCCTACTGAAATCCTCCTTCAGCTTCACCCGAAGCCCATGGCTACCAAGCCAGCCTGCTCACTCCTGATACGGTTGTGAAATTGGAAGTTTTGCTTTGTTCTTTTGTGAAGGAATTTAAAGATTTACTTATTTTTATTTATATGAGTACACTATAGCTGTCTTCAGACGCACCAGAAGAGGGCATTGGATCTCATTACACATGGTTGTGAGCCACCCTGTGGTTGCTGGGAATTGAACTCAGGACCTTTGGAAGAGCAGTCAGTGCTCTTAACCACTGAGCCATCTCCTCAGCCCCTTGTGAAACAATTTAAAAAGCAGACCTTTGAGAGCAATTGCAGCCAAAATAAGCTGTAAACATGGAACTTTCTCATATATCTTCACATGGCTCATCCTCTCCTGCTCACGCCCTCCTCCTGAGTGGTCCATTTGTTACCTCAGGTAAACCTTCTACACGATGATCACACAGAGCCCATAGTTTATCTCCAGAGTTATGACGTCTGTTCTCAGTCGTCAGTTTATTACGTCTATAGCCCAAGTGGTTCTGTATACCGTGAGGGTTTTTTTTTCTTAATTAAATTATTTGAAGTAGGAAGACCCACTTTTAATCTGAATCTTTGGAAGTGGGAAGATCTTCCTTAAATCTGGGCTGCGCCTTCTGCTGGCAGGCTATGAAAAGGGCATGGAAGAAGGAAGCTTGCTCTGTGCCTGCTTGTTCTTACTCTCTCCGGCAAATCCATTCCTTCACAGGCATTAGGGCCTACTTCTTCAGGATTCCAGTGTATACTGGAGACCAGCTGAGACATTCAGCCTCCTGGACTAAACAACTACTGGATTCTTGGACTTACATTGATAAGCAGTGTCTCTGGACCAGAGCCTGTAATCCATTCTAATACCCTCCACCTCCATATACTCACTTTATAAGTTCTATCCCTGTAGAGAACCCTAATACAAGGGTCGTTTTCTAGTGTGTTCTATTCTGTTTGGATCTTCACCTCTGTAAGTTTGTATAGAATGCTTATGGTCCCCCGAGAGTCCTGCTGCCCACCCCCACTTCCTCCCCGAGCCCTGGAAACCACTATCTCTTCATCCCTCTAAGGTTTTGCCTTTTTTTTCCTCAGGATGACTCTACTGGCGTGGTGCAGGGTGTCCCCATCTTAAACTGGATTCTTTCGCTCTGTAATATGCACGTATGGGTTCATCTAGTCTTGTTATGACTTCCTTGTTTGCTTCTTTCTAGCTCTGAAAAATATTGCACTAGCTGGTCTGACTGCGGTTTTTTAGTTTTACCTGTGGGTATCTAGGAAGCTTCCAGCACTTTCTGATTATGAATAAAAGCAAGCACCTCGCTTGCCTCTTTCACCTTAGCATACTGGTGCTCTTTGTCTTTGACAGGAGGTCCCACGCCAGGCTAGCCCTGACTCCTGCCTTTGCCCCTGAGAAGCTGGGGCTACAAAGATGAAGGTCCATGCTGGCCTAAGACTAGGTCTTTTGCCTTCAGATGATTTCCCTTTCGGAGATGTCTGAGGCTGGTCTGCAAAAGTGAAGTCTCATCGTTAAGGTACGTGTGCTTTCACTCTGGCTCTGCCTTAGACACACTAACTACAGGCCATTCACAGGCAGCACAGTTTCTCCATGGTAACAGGTCCCAGATCATCCTCCATACCTGCCCTACCTGTTTGGCATGTCCTTGTTCCCCGCTTTGTACAACTCTGTTCCTGACTGTACTGTTTCCTGGAGTGTTCTGCTGTTCAAGGTCTTCATCCTAGGAAAAAAAAAAGCAGAGTGAAAAACACGGCATCAGAGCCCAACACAAGTATCCTTCTGCAAAGATTCCCGGAAGAGTCCTGTAGAGTGGCAGAAGCCGAGACTCCGTGTTCAGATGAGGCACCCGGTTCAAGGAACTGCCAGGGAATCATGGGCTCAAGGAAACAGATGAATCTTGCTTTGTTTTGCTCTGATGGGAACGATCCATGTGCTGCACGTGGAGAAAGAACAGCAGCTCTCCACCTTAGGCCCTGATGCACTCACTGTAAATACGCGCAGCCAGTACTGGGTTGGGGTCCTGACACTTCAGCTGGTCACCCCTCAGGAAGGCAGATCCACCTTTAAGCCATGCTCAATCGCTTGAAGAGATAAGTATCCCTTTAATGAGATAGCGCACTTGTCCTTCCCAGAATTCCTGGCCCTAGCCTGGGCGCGTACAGAACTTCAGCGTCGCAGCTTCCTAAGTCTGAATAAATCTGAGAAGCAGCAAAACTTTGCCTCTTCTGTCTGTTTTTTTTTTTTTTTGTGCATCTGCCCATGATTTTCCTAACATGTCTAGCTTCTCTCTCAGAAGTTCCCTTCTGGCAGAGTGGCTCCTTGCCCACATGCTGCTCAACTCGAAGCTGCCATGGCTGCTTCTCTCTCTTCTGGGTAGATGCTGGGAGTTACAGTTTGTTCTCCTGGGGTTTTAATGTTAAACTCTAATAAAATCATCCTTGTGGGTCTGTTCTTAAGTAACTCTCTTTCTCCCTCCTCCCCTTCCTCTCTCCTTTCTTTTTTTCCTTTCTCCCTTTTTCTTCTCTTCCCTCTTCCTGCTCCTGCCTCTTCCTCTGTTATTTTGAAGCCTGGACTCACTGTGTGGCCCTGGCTGGCCTTGAACTAACAGAGATCAGCCTGTCTCCTGAGTCCTAAATTAAAGGCATGCACCACCACTCCCATATTTAAATTCTTGTAAGGAGATTAAGACTGCAAGAGGGTACCCCAATCTCCATCTCCCTGTAACCTGTGGTACCTCTGATGGGGCTCCTCAGAATTCTTGGTAATGGTAAGGGAGGAAATGTATGTTTATACGGAGAACGGAAAGAGGGTAGAACCATGGCTATTGTACTGACTTCTCTCCTGTGTTCATGGATTCTTACATTTTCCTTAATGCTAAGTTGAAAACACCAGGGCCAGGGATGAGTGAATAAACCAGGATCTCTAATTACACGTGCAACCCTCAGCAGGTCATGTCACCCTGAACTTCAGGCATCTATTCACACAGCAGTGTGCTCTTCCTGGCTCTCTGCAGAACCCTGAGATATCTCTCTCTCTCTCTCTCTCTCTCTCTCTCTCTCTCTCTCTCTCTCTCAGCTGCAGGCTTCTGATGCCCTCTGCTGGCAGCCTGTGAAACCTTTGCTGAAGGAATGAGATGAGGTTTTAAGTCAGTAAACGTGGAGAGTGCTATTGTATTTAGGGCTCGAGTACATGCTGTTTTGCATCCTCACAGAGGACTCCTGGATGTGTTTCCCCTGTGTTCTTGATTGTTCTGTCCAGTGGACTCACTGCTTGGTCTTTGTATTTCCGGGAAGAAAAACAGCTCTAGGACTTAAAACAGTAGTAGGAGTTATTGAGGGTGTGGATGGATGGGTAGTAAACAGCCAGCTTTTCTCTTTCTCTGTAAGTTGGAGCTGTGGGCCTGTAAACAAAGCTTCTAACTACTTATGAACCAACATCTCATCCTCTTCATGAAGCGGATTACTGACACCTTTGTACCTAACACCTTGTAGGTACCTGTTCTCAGGGTAGAACCTCGCAGGACACCAGAGTGGGGAAGTCTGGGAACCACATGTATGTTTCTAAGCAAATGAAGTGGGGGCCTAAACCACTCATATGCATAAAAATGAAACTTAAAAAGATGTTAAAACATATTTCTGATAGAGTGTATGTACATTGTATTAACAGTTTAAAATAAAACTCTGATGTCAGGGAAAGTTAATGTATTATGGGAATTCTCTCTTCTTGGTCCCTGGGAGTGTAGTAAGTAAGCTGTGCTTTCCTCAAGCCCATACTGAAGTCTTCCCCTTCATCCCCTGCTTAATGCACCTATAAATTAAGAAATAGTTATATTTAAAAAAAATCCCAGCTGGGAGGCAGAGACAGGAGGATCTTTGTGAGTTCAAGGCCAGCCTGGACTACAAAGTAAGTTACAGGACAGCCAGTGCTACATAGCTAAATCCTATCTCAAAAATTTATTTATTTGTTTATTATTTTATTTTAGGTGTGGGTGCTTCACCTACATGTATGCAGTTCCCAGTGAGACCAGAAGAGGGCACCAGATCCATGGAACTGGAGATGCTCAGAACCGAATGGCTCCTCTGCAAGAGCAGCCATCGCTCTTAACCTCTGAGCCATCTCTTTAGCCTCCTAAGGAACAATCATAAGCAGATAAATCTGTGAGCATAGGAACCCCTTCACCTTAGTTGCGCATTGGGGAGTCTTGGTTTTGCCTCTGGAGCCATCCGGGAAGACTAGGGGTCCAGAGCTGAGGCTCCAGCCTTGTGCTCACTAACGTTGTGATCACTTAGGTTCTTAAATAGTAAGCGAACGGTTTGGACATTCTGCTTAGTTTTCTAAAATCCTATTTCATGGTTTCTCTAACAGGGTTGCTTTTTTTCCCACTGGGATTCATAAGTCCTGGTTATATTTACATGAACTGCATAGTTTCTAACACCAGTGTGTTGCTGTGCAGTGTCCACTTGGGGGCGCCACTCCATCCGAGTTGTCGGGACAGCAGCTGAGGTGACCCCCTGAACTCCACTTTGACTTCAGCAAGCTCTCTGAGCAGGACCTGCGTAGGAATTAACATACTAACGTGCTGGGCAGCTAGCCTGGCCTCAGTAGACGGTGCCCTCACCAGCTTTGGCTTCCAGCTCCCACGTACAATATGTAAAGACGGAGATCTCAGGGGAAGCTCCTATCTCTGGTCAAAAGAATGGGACCCAGGGGGCCAGAGAGATGGCTCAGTGGTTATGAACACTGGCTGTTCTTGCAGAGAACTGGGTTCAGTTCCCAGCATCCGCATGGTGCCTCACAACCATCTATAACTCCAGTTCTGATACTCTCTTCTGGATTTCATCAGCACCAGGCAGGCATGTGTGCACAGACATACAAGAAGGCAAACATTCATGCACTCTAAATTAAACTGAATTAAAATATATTATAAACGGGCTGCAGAGATGGCTTAGAGGTTAAGAGCTCTAGCTGCTCTTCCAGAGGTCCTGAGTTCAATTCCTGGCAACCACATGGTGGCTCACAACCATCTAATGAGGTCTTGCGTCTTCTTCTGGCCTGCAGGCATACATGCAGAGAGAACATTGTATACATAATAAATAAATCTTTAAAAAAATATTATTAACAAGCAATCTGGCCTTGGTGAAGAACCAACATACTGATCTGCCGTAAAGAAGAGCACGGTGTACCGTAAGCTGATCCAACCGCCTCAGCCAATCACCTTGCTACAACACTCCAACAATGCATTTGAAAAGTGTGTTTGATTTATGACTGTGTTTGCTTTGCTACAATAAAAACTTCACGGAACTGTTATCGTGTTTGGGGTAACCTAATTCTCTGTTCCTAGGCTGTGGCCACTTACATTTGGCTCCAGAATAAACCACCTTCCCCTTTCTGGTTGAGAGCTGGCTTGCTAATTTGTGCTTGTCTTTCCCTCCCATCCGTCTAAGCTATTCCAAACGCCACTGCCACGGGAAACACAAACAAGTGCTGGAGAATGTGGTAACCGGAAGAAACCAACGAAGCCTAACCAAGCCCCATGTGGGTTCAGCTTGATTGGAGCTGGCATCACCTAGGAGATGAGCTTCCGGGCACAGCTGGGAAGATGATGTTGGCCAGGTTAGCTGAGGTGGGAAGACCCACAGTAAGAGAGGGCTATGCCGCTCTCTGAACTGCAGGAGAGAAAGAAGTGAGCTGAGTACCAGCATTCAAGTTCCGGACAACGGTGGGTGCCGTGTGGTCATGTGACCATCTGCTTCAAGCCCTTGCTGCCTTGATGTCCCCGCCACTGGGAGTCCCAGAGTTAAGTCTTTTCTTCCCTAAACCGCCTTTTTTTTCTTTTGAGACTGGGTCTCTGTGTAGCTCTGACTGTCCTAGAACTGAACGTGTAGAACAGACTGGCCTTGAACTCAGGCCTCCCTGTTGGGATTAAAGGCGTTTTCCACCAATAGGCCTAAACAGGTTTTGTCTGAGTGACAGGAAAAGGAGTTGGTGTAAAAGATATCTCTGGATTCTCGAGAAAAAAAAAAAAAAGAGAACCGCAGACAACCCACTTATTGTTGAACTGAGGCGTGCTGTTGCTTTTCTGGTGACCATAGAGAAATCAGCCACTCTTGTGAACCCAAAAGAACCTCCAGACTGACCGACTAGGGCAAAGTTAGACGGGACGGTTGAGGGCATGCACACGTGTGGGCGGTAGTGCGGTTTCCAGCATGTGGAAGTGGTTAATGACAAAGGCCAGACTCTGGTCGGGGCCCTTTAAACCTTTGACCTTTCTCTTGACCTGTGAGGAACGGTAGTCTCTCTGCACATTCTCCCAGAGGAAGAGACTCAACTACCACTAACGTGGCTTCTAAGAGCTGACAGCGCAGAAGAGGCAGACTCCTGAACTCTTCAGAGCAGTCAGAGAGCTAACTTACTCTAGTAAACCCTTTCACTGTCCCGTAGAGGTGGAGAGAAACAATCTCCGCTCAGAGCGACTTAGACCCTCAGCGAGCATGGGGGATGACAGTCATGTCCCCTTGGCCAGAGGAGGAGCCTGACTTAAGTAACTGTGGGTTGGCAAATCCTCCTACCCTTTCCTGCTTTTTGCAATGTCCACACCTCTGACTGGGCCGGAACCTCTCCCTGTTTCCTCATTCTTCCTCTGAAGGCCCACTCAGCTCTGGAGAAACTGAAGCTAATTACGGAGTGAAAACTGTCCTCACTGATTTTACTGATGATATC